CCAAGAAGTGCCGGCTTTCATCTGGGCCTGGACCCAAACCTATTTGGGAGGCTGCTAAAATCTTATTTGCGACTTTGTTATTTCTAATACAGCAGCAGAGAGCACAGAGTGAAGGGAGGGGGTTGAGCTGTGTCTAGCCTGAGGCAACCACTGCTGCAGCCTGGCATTGGCGAGGAGTGTGGGTGGGAAAGCGTGTTTCTCGCCGCAGAGGGGGGGAGCTTTATTGCCTCAGTCAGCAGCAGAGTGGTTCTGAAAAGGGGCCAGGAGGAAGATTTCAGTGATCTTCAATACAGAGCAGAGAGCACAGAGTGAAGGGAGGGGGTTGAGCTGTGTCTAGCCTGAGGCAACCACTGCTGCAGCCTGGCATTGGCGAGGAGTGTGGGTGGGAAAGCGTGTTTCTCGCCGCAGAGGGGGGGAGCTTTATTGCCTCAGTCAGCAGCAGAGTGGTTCTGAAAAGGGGCCAGGAGGAAGATTTCAGTGATCTTCAATACAGCAGGGCAGAGTGTGCACCTGGGGGATGGGATAGCGGCACAGAGCTGCTAGTGAAGCAAGAGCAAGCCAAGGGTGCCAGTGTGGTGCTGAAAGCTGCCACCCCTAGAAGGTGCATTTCAGGGCCACACGCGGCCCTATCCTCATGAGCTGTCCGGCCCGCCTGCTGAAGGGAGCAAACTCAGCTCTGCTCTTGGCAGCAGCACTGTGGATTCAGAGGGGCTCAGCGGGCATAGGTTTGCCCATTTGCTTCATCCAGCAGGGGGTACTTCTGGGTTACATCACTGGGGGATGACCAGGGAGAGCGTGTCACTGTGGACAGGGTCTAGTCTGGTAGCCAGGTGCAGTGTGAGCTCAACATTGGCCCTGGGCCAATTCATGTGCTTTATATGTCAAAGTACAAGTGATTATTTAGGCCAGAAAAGTGTCCTTTTAAAGAACGGCAAGTCGGGAAGTTCACACACTGAAGAGTCACCATCCTTAATTTGGCTTTACTAACAAATAATTTAATAATTGACAAAGCTGAGACCAAATCTTTTCCCTGGGCATAGCTGCTCCCAGGGCTCCTCGCCCAGATCTACTCAGCCCGCACTCTAGATACGCTCTTTAGAGAGCCCCTTTTACTGCCTATCTATACCCAGCTGGGGGAATGAGCTGCCTGCCCCAGTGAGTCAGCTCAGCCCCCCTTAACCATCTCTCAGCAAGATCTGCACCCGCTAACAGGCTGGAATGTCTCAGACAAAGTCTCCCTGCCTGTTACAGCCTCCCTTTAGAAGTTCTATATGCATGGGCGGTCAGTGCAGCTGAGGCTGGGGGAGGCAGCCCTGTGGTCCCTAGCCCCACCCCATCTGCTGAGACCCTGCCCACACCACGGGGAGTAGCAGCATGCCGAGTGCATCCCATCCCCGCCCCCGCCCTCCATGACACAGCCACGTGCGTGGCTGAGAAGGTTCCTGCTTCTCCTCCTTCCCAGCTGCCCTGGAACCTGCCTGAGCCACACTGAGCAGCCCACAGCAACTGCACATGGCAGCTGGAGGCAGGGCCAGAACAGCTCAGCACAGCTCTGTCTTGTTTTGCTGTCAGGAACAGATGCCCATGTGTGTACAATTTGTCTATCCAGAAGTGGACCGAGTCCTCTCAAGGCAACTCAAGTTGGTCACCAAACTGGTGTGTGAAGGTATAAATGTTCCCCTGAGGCTTGATTGGAATCAGTGACATTCCCTCTTGGGTCCCTGCGTGCCACTGGCAGTTTTCTGGGCTACCTGTCCCCCAACAAAAGGCTGCCTTCCCCATGCTGGACTACTATAGTATCTCTGTCTTCTAATAACAAGGCCATGGATGATTCCAAAAGCAGGCTGAGAAAAGCCAATAAAGGCAGGGGACGTGTTTCTCTGCTCCATTGCACTATACCATTGTGTGCAGTGTGAATGGAGAATGGCCCTTAGGTTTGATTGGTTTGGAAGAAAGAAGAGTAAAGGGGAACTTTGACCGAATTATAGATGGTAATACAGAGGAAACCAGCTAAATAGTTCTATTTAACTTTTCCCAGAGTAATCAGGCAAATAGAAGGGCATCTAATGAAATGTAAAGGCCACAATTTTTAAGTGGGAAGAAGAGAATAGATTTCCCTGTACAACATATAGATAACCTGCAGAACTCACTGCCACATGATATTGTTAAAGTAAATAGCCTGGTATGATTATAAAAGAAGATTCAGACACGGTGGCGTCTAGACTGGCAAGATTTTGTGCAAAAGTGGCTGCTTTTGTGCAAAAACTTGCCAGCTGTCTACACTGGCCGCTTGAATTTGCACAAGAGCACTGACATTCTAATGTAAGAATTCAGTGCTTCTTGCGCAAATACTTTGATGCTCCCGCTCAGGGATAAGCCCTCTTGCGCAAGAATACTTGCACAAGAGGGCCAGTGTAGACAGGAACCTTAATTTTTTGCACAAGAAAGCCTGACGGTTATCGGAGTTTTCTTGCGCAAAAGCACGTCTATACTGGGCACGGATGCTTTTGTGCAAAAACACTTTTTGCACAAAAGCATCCATGCCAATCTAGATGCTGTTTTGCGGAAATACTTTTGAGGGAAAAACTTTTCCGTTAAAAGTATTTCCGCAAAATCATGCCAGTCTAGACGCAGCCTATGTGATTAAAAGTGGTGCTTCCTATACCAGTAAGGCAGCTAAAAATTAAAGGCTTCTGGATTTCCTGGTTCATAGACTAAGAGCTGACTAGAATCAGGAGGAAATTTCTCCTCTGGCACAACATTGCACAGGTGAGGTATATCAGAGGATTTTACAAACCTTCTCCTGGAACTTCGAAAACTGTCCACTTCTGGGAGAGAGGAATTTTTATAAGATAATTAATGTGCTTGAGAATGCTGATTCTACGCAGGCAACAAACCTGGTATCGACACCCTCGGATAGACTCCCGGTTGATGTAAAGAGAAGCACTGTTGTGTAATGGTTCAGACAAGAGGCTAGGTATCATGGCTCTGCAACTAGCTTGCTGTATGAACTTGGGAAAGTCACTTAACTTCTGGGGGGGCAGGGCGAGGGCCTCAGTTTCTTTATCAGTACTTATCATCTTGTGCAGAGCCCCAAGCAGGCCTTATGAATGAAGCATACTGCGATCCCTATAGAGACGGTGCTAGAGAAGGCAAAAGCATCATTTTTAATTGCAGAGCATTAGCTGCAGTATCAGAAAATAGGGGGATGGAAGGGGAGAGAAGAGAGAGGCTTTTAAAAAGGGAACTGCAAGCGGTTTCTTAAGCAGATCTGCACTGGGCAGCCCCAGAGACAGGTAGCACCTCTTGACTACAGCTGAGGACACCCTGGCTGTGTCTACACTGGCACAATCTCACACAAAAGCGGCTGCTCTTGTGCAAAAACTTGCTGCCTGTCTACACTGGCCACATGTTCTTGTGCAAGTACACTGACGTTCTACTGTATAAAATCAGGGCTTTTTGTGCGAGAACTCTGATGCTCCCACTCAGGAATAAGCCCTCTTGCGCAAGAGCTCTTCCAGAAGAGGCCAGTGTAGACAGGCATATGAATTTCTTGCGCAAGAAGCCTTTATGGTTAAAATGGCCATCGGAGCTTTCTTGTGGAAGAGAGCGTTTACACTGGCATGGATGCTCTTGCGCAAAGGCACATGCCAGTGTAGACGCTCTCTTCTGGAAGATTTTTTGCAGAAGAACTCTTCCGCAAAAGAATTTTTGCCTGAGAATGCGCCAGAGTAGACGTAGCCCCATGTTTGTACCTGCATGTGTGTCCAGCATCTTGCACAGTAGGGCTCAGGCATCTCCCATAGAAAACCAAATTGCAGTTCTCCTAACAGCACTGCTGCTATTCATTTAAGCTATGCCCACTGTGGCCTCTCCTGTGCTGTGTGGGCATTGCACCAGGACACTGAACTATATGTTGCAGCCAGTGCACTGCTAAAGCTAGAGGCACAAACGATCCAGACACTCACACATGGCATTAGTGCTTTACGCTCGTGTCCAAGAGAACCATTTATTGTGATCGCATACAGCATGGCAATGTGGAAAACACTGGAAATCTTGTGTCGCTGGTTTGGTTCCCTGGACAGTGCCAGAAATGGCGACTTGGCCATTCCCACCCCATCTATAATATTAGGAAACCCTTAGCCACAGATGGTCAGACGCACGGAATGTCTAACGGGGAGTAAGCCACAGTTCTGCTGCAGTGTGGGCTGTGCCCAGATGCGCTGCTGCGTCTCGCCCTCTAGCCCCCACCATCCATGGACTTTTCAGTGAGCTCTTCTTCCCCGCCTTCCTTCGGGTTTTGTCTGTGTTGTACGAAAGCAGAGTGTGCCACGCCAGTGGTGTGCATCCACAAGGAGTGGTTCTTTCCTCCCCGTGTGCTCCCCACCCCCAGAGCAGCGTCCCCGTCACGCTCCCACCGATGCGCACTCGTAACCTGGCCCTAAATATCCTGACACTGCAAGTCCAAGTCACGTGCCCTCACCCCCCTGGCTGGCCAGCACACTCTGTTGGGCCCCCTGGTTTTAACTCCCTTTGTCTGGACATTACTACAAATCACAAACTGGGAAAATAGAAAAACTGAGCCAGGCTCAAGGGGAAGATACACTCTGCGGGGCTCTGACCTCAGTCTCTGATGCATTCAACAAAGCCGGACGGAATCTCTGCCCTTGTGGCAGCTCCCATTCCACAACTCCAGGCCTCAGACCCCAACAACTACCACACACGGAAGAAAAAGGAGGAAAGAAATCACCTAGACGGAGATTTGGGTCCCCCCCTCTCCTCCCACCGCCGCTGCCCTCTATAGACTGAGGGGGAAACGCCG